ACAGACAACACATCGGAATTAACGGAGTTTCTGAAATAAAAAAACATTTGCATGCAATAATCTACACAAAATATGTTAAAATCTTCAATAAACTAACGAGAATATTTAAAGAATGCTACCGTGAAAAATTCATAACAAAAAAAAAACAATAGAAATAACAAATATAAAATAGAAATAACAGCCGAATACTAGCTCCCGTACGAGGCGGTCGACCAGCTGATTATTTTTGGCAATTTGCCAATCAGCGTATTGATTTTTCATCAATTTCGCTAAAGTGCGAATGTGGTGAAGGACAACTTGAACTCGTAGTCAGCCTAGCGAGGGGCGGAGGCCTCACGTCCCCCACTGTTCCTGCCCTTATCGTGCCCTATCCAGCCGTTTTCCGACCTAATTCCTGCACAAATGTTATCAGAGGGGGCTTCGAATTCAAACCATGTGCAAATCTCAGAAACCATTTTTTCGTGAACAGTGCCTTTAAAGGGCTCCTTACTTCAAAAATTGCGCGCTCCAATCTTCCATAACAATCCTGCGATACGCGGTGGGTGCAGCGTGTGCGACGCCGTTTGGGGAGAAGATTCCGGACCTGGAGACTAGACCAGGCAGCAAGATGGTGTATGTGGTAGCACTGCGCTCCTCCCACAAAGAGCGAGAGTGGTATTGTTTCTTCAGATCTGCGGTGATCAGATTTGGAAGAGGTACAGATGACAGGATAAAGTACTGATGGAAAACAACAGGAATAAAAGCGTGCGCAAACTGAGCGTGATCTAACCAAACCTACGCGGTCAAGGGAAATTTGTGGCGAATGGACCGAAGCTATTCAAACACAAGTGATTTGATCAAGACTCCATCCGCCCACGTGGCGTGGTGTGCTAAGTGCGTGTGTTTGGCCGGAAACTAATAATTTCTGTATTGTTCTTCTTCCGGTATGCGATTCAGAAAAAGCTGTCTGGAACAGAAGACCCTGCGACACAATTTCAGATATCAGAAGAATTTATTTACAGATTCCGTTTGTGGTAATGTTCGACACGTGGATGGTGCAACAACTAGATATGGAGCGAGTGACTGCCTTCGCTAAGGTCCTATTTATTCATTCATTTTCTGCTCCACTCGTCCTTTCCATTACCAATACGTGTGTGCTTCAGAAAACCTTCCTCGGTCTTCCCGACTACGAAGAGCGGCTCCAGAAAACAACTCGCTTAGCTGATATGTTGCGACGTTACACTTCTGGTATCTCTACCACTAAGATATATTTATTCAAGAGTGCAGAAGTGAGCGAAGCAGAAGCGTTCCGAAGAGTCGTACGGTAAGAATATTGTGACTTCCAGGTCATATCTTTCGGAATTTTTTGCACTGATTTAAGGAGTATTTTTGAAAAAGGTTGCCTTTTTGCAGGCCTGATCTCAGTCAGAGCACGATAAGAGCGATAACAGCTAATGGACTCGGTTCCTCGTCTACACAGCCCATAGACGTGTTTCTGGTACGTTGATAAGACTGTTAGAATTCTTCAGCCAAACTTCAACTCACTACTGTAGACTATTTCATCCAAGAATTCCCTCATAGAATGTTGTGCACTTCACCTTCATGAGGCGATTTAGTGATCACCTCGAACTTACACTGTCTTGCGTAGTATGCCTACCCATTTTCAGTTAAATTCCGAACCTCAATTTTACTCACGGGCGGAGGTGGTGTAGTGACAATTGGCACACTTCTCACACACATGGTCACGAGTCGAATCCCGAATCGGTATCCGCCCAGGCAAACCAAGCATTCCATTCCTCCGAGGTCGCGAATTGGTACCAGACTCGTCTGGGAAGATAAAAGCACTGACTTGTACTCCGGCTGGCCACCGCAAATCATTGTATAGGCCACATACGCATTCATTACGCCACTACGATTCCGAAAGGAAGTCGAATGCGAGGGCGCATTCCTCAGGGATTAATCATAGCCCGATGACTTTATACTTTTATCCTTTATTTTTACTCACGTAGGGCTCAGTCGAGAAAAGTAAAAGGCTCACACTGGCTTTCCATAAACGACTCTTCGATTTCGAAAAAATGGTATCCTTGTTTCATTATGAACCTAGCAGTGCTTGTATACTCCCATCCAACGTCTACATACTCTGCATACATACATACGAATTAGCAAAGTTTTCTGTGTGTATTCAGATCGACGGAAACCACGACTCGTGTATGAAGCCAGAAAATCTAATGACTCACAAGAAGACGATAATTTCGCTTTTTGAAAATTGGTTATAGCTCTATAGAACTGTATTTATAAACACGTTTTGCTAATAAATTGAGAATAAGACTGTAAGATGCGTGCATATCCATACTAGACGGAATAGGAAGCTAATCAAATTACTTTCTCTATTTGACGATAGAATCTAAAACGTTCTCTTCATTTTTAGTGATGTTAGCCTTAGTGAGTTCTAGTTAATTGATATGTACAATAAATGTCAATATATAAAATGAACTTACCGTGTAGAGTACTCTGATCGGTTGAAGGGTAGTAATACTCAAAAAGTAGTACTTATTTAATGAAAACTCTGAAACTCTCAATGAGCCAAACTCTAGGGCGTGAGGGAGGG